CTCTCTGGGCAATCAGAGCTTGTTTTTCAATGCCTTACAAATTCTGTCATCTCCCCAGAACACCAGGCACTAGTTCCCAGTTTTTCTCATCCTCTCATATCACAGCTATTTGAATGATATCTTCCACATTGTCTTTGATTCACATCAGTAGGGAAAGGGAATGGGTTCCTAACCAACAGAGGTTTGGTGGGTTATAAAAACCCAGGCAGTCCAAGTGGCCTCTGAGAGTTGCTGCTTCTGGTATCTCTAATGCCTGTGGCAGCTTAGTCCCTGGGCATTTCACTGCCAAGTTAAAAAGCTCATTCATCACTTGATCTTAAAATGGCAAATTTTCAAATTTTCATATTTTTTTTTTTTTTTTTTGTGGAAAAACCCACCTCCATAAGTAAAACCTAGTTAAAGAGCTTTCATTCAAGCTTTAAAGTGAATGAATTGCTTACTTTTTAGGCACAAAGCAAGCCTGGGAGAATTCAGGTGGCAGACAAAAAAAACGCCATGGAAACTTAAGGTGACAAATTACAGGCTCTGTGGTTTATCAGCCTGTCCTCAAGTGGCTGCACACAGCAAAAAGTTAGCAGCCCACAGATGTTTCAGCAAGTAGGGAAGCTCTTAGATCAAGTTTTTACTGTGAAATGACCATTTGAAAAATCTGCTGTCTTATCTATTTCTAGATTATACACGATTAAAGAAGTGTAGGAAAAAAGAGAAAAACTGCAATGGTATTTCAGTCTGCCTCTATATGGTTGGAAGGTCAATTACCAAATAAATGAGGGATTTATAAAATCCACCCTGTTGGTCTCGTCCCTTATGCCTGTACTGCACATTCACCATGACATTTTGGTCCAAAATTGATCAGTTTTGCCTTACTGCTTAAGCACAGTTTGCTTGTCACACACTAACCTGTTATTTTCTCAGTAATTTCCTCTGTGTGCCTCAGTCACACTAAACCAACCCAAAACCAAATATTTACTGCCACTGTGGACACAAATATCATTTACAGCCACACAGGGGTCTTAGTGAGGTAACTCTTTAAGCCTGAGAACTATATAGGGGTTTCTAGGAGCAAAAACTTGCACAAAATCTGGCTGTGGATCTTTTTATGTTGTGAGACTGCCAATGCAGTCTCCATGGGAGATGCCATGGGGCCTCCTTCTCTCCAGGGCCCATAACACCAGCCTACACACTCCCAGCCTGGCTGGGCATCTGAGCTTCAGTTTTGGGGTGAATTGTGTTGACAGACACAGGTCAAACCAATGGCAAAGCCAAGAGGTGGCTCTGCCTGTCTATCCATTGAGATAAAACCTGTTCTTCTGCACAAGTGCTCATTACCACAACCCCAGCTTGGCAGATGGGAACACCAGCATGTTTGTACTGATCTATTTGCTAGCTTTGCTAGTGAAGCTGCCCTCTTTGCATCCCTGCAGAGGCCTCACCTTTCCTTTTATTGGGTGTCAGCAACAGATTTTAACCTTTGGAGCCCTGCTATCCAGACTTGCATGAAGTATAAACACATACAGGCCATGACTCCTGCTGAAGTGAAGGCACATCCCAGCATTCATTTCAGACAGCTTCTAAGATGGCTTCAAAGATGGCTTTTGAAGTTATGCTCCTAGGAGAAGGATGGAAACTCCAATTTCTAGTCTCATTGCTGTCACATTCCATCGAATCCCTGCTTCTCCTTGCAGCACCTGGCGACACTCCAAAAGTCAGCCACCTAAAAACAAATGCTGTGCTCCCTCTGGGCAGCTAGATACTTAACACTGTTAAGGATCTTTAGCTGTGAGTCCTCTCCTGGACTGAAGTCACAGAGCTGGGAAAAAGGAGACAGCAATGGGCTTCACATCAGATATTAGGTGACAGCAACGTTGACAGAAATAATGGGTGGCCAGGTTCAAGTCCCACACTCTTCTTAAACTTCTTCTGAAAGCAGGGATCCAAACTCCAATCACTAGGTCATTGGATACCTTTTTATGAAGATAAATTGCTCATGGTAGTTGTTCCACTGCACATAAAAGAAATAATCACGTTTTAAGCTGTAAGCAAAGTCAAAACGCTTTACAGCTTGGTATTTAATCCCCTCAGAGAGGATAGCACAGTGAAAGCCTTTGTTATCCTAGCTAGAAGTGTGCACTGCTAAGCCGTGTGAGCATTTTGGGGTGTGTGTAATCTCCACCCCACTCCTCCCAAACAGACACTGGCTTTGACAGCAACTTTTCAGTTCCACCATGACAGTCATTTCCCCACAGCCACATCACCAAGTGTGTGAAAAACAACTCAATTCCATAATAAATAAACAAACAAACAAGCAAACAAATAATGCATTTCCTCCTGTAAATTCAACATGAAAATACTGTGTCCTTGGCAATGGCCAACTAGAGTAAACCATTTGAGCATCATTTCATCAGCCACTGCTGAAATAGCCAGCTTCAGAATGGATCTTTCTGAAGATCCTAATGCTGCTTTACTAGTATTTCATTACTATGGTATGATTTAGTAAATACAGTGAAGAGTGAAGCATGGAAAGGTCAGAAAATTTGAGTTCTTTCGTTTGTTTGAATTATTCCTATAGATTATGGTCATGCTCCTAGTTCTTTTCCAGTCTCAGCTATCTCTCAAACGTGCCCAGGGACATCATTGTGCTTTTCTTGGAACAGCCTCTCTCAGGGCAAAACCGTGCCTTAGGCTCCTGCTGCCAACAGCAGCTTCCTGCCTGCCCCAGGTCAGCCTCAGGCTGTGTCTGCTGTGGCTCAGGCTGGAGGAGCGGCCGTGCCTTTGGGAACGTGCACAGCCACCCTACAGTCACTTCAGGCAGACTGGCTGGTCAATGAAGGGTGACAGGCCAGAGAGCCCAAGGCCCCCGCCCTGGGGAGAGGAGAGGGCAGCAGGGGTGAAATGTGCAGAGGCAGAAATTGCTTGTTGCTCACAGGCTGATATTCCCTCAGTGACCACCAGCATTATCAATACAATTGTCATTTCAAGTCCCCCAGTATCACCCTCCTCCTTTTGGACCAACCACAGACAAGATTCCCTTTGCAAAACCTGACCTGTCATGAGCTGTTATGAAAGCACAGCACCCCAGTTAAAAGAGGAGCAGTTTGGGCATTTCTATTCTTGGCCAGACAGATCATTGTCCTGCAGACATCCAGTGAGGCAGAGCTGGCCTTGCACTGCTCCACTGGTCTTCCCAGCTGGGCTGCCTCTGCCCTCTGCTCCCCCGCAGTGTGACATTACATATCCACTTGTCATTCTGGTGTCAGCTGCTTTGGCATCTCTTTCAAGCAATGTTAGCTTCTGGAGGGGAAGGATAGGCTGGGTGTGGGGGAACCTGCCTGTTTACCTTCAGACATGTCAGTCATTGAACATAAGCTAGAGTTCACCAGCAGCAATATTCCTGTTTCATGGGTTTGTTTGCTTGTTTTTTCCTTTTTTCTTTAATTTGAAAAACCCCAAAGTAAAACCAAAACACAAAAAAAACCCACAAGAAACCAAACCAACAGCAAAAACCCCAAATGCCCCAAAAACCTATACCTTTAAAATTAATTTCTTTTGAAGGCGTAAAACACAGATGACTGTACCAGATTCAGTCCAAAGACCAACTTTTCAGTAACATTCTCCTGTGTTTGTAGTTCCTGCAGTGACCCAGAGCAGCAAAGAACATGGCACAGCTGTCTGCTGCAAGACAGCATCCCCATCCACAAACCAGCAGCACGAGGAGACCTCACAATTGCTTTAGTTGTACATCTACAAGGGTAGTGAAACCCAGTTAGAAGTTCAGAAAGGCAACACAGCAAATGTTTTCATTTAACCACTTTCCTAATACCTCAGTGGAAAAGCTGCTTGTTTTGATAAGACCAAACAACTTGACTATCAGTCCATATCTTCAGCTGGTTCTCCTGCAGTGGAAAGCAGTATGTGTGCAAACAAAGCAAGTGGATAAGTTTGATCACATTCTCTGCCCCTTATGAAAATAAGGATGTTCTGTGCAAAACTGTAGGCTTGCAATGAAGGACACTTTTTGGCAGTCTGGAGCAGAAAGCTGTGCCACAAAGAAACCATCATCTGTTTGGAGACTGAGGAAATATCAAGGAAAAAAAGTGAGGTGTTTTCCTCTCTGTACACAGATAAACCCCTGCATACTGCTTCCAGAAGCTGGGAACCACTAGTGAATTTGTCCTTGCCAGACCAGCTGACACCATGTTACATTAGAGGAAATCTTTCCAGGATCTGTTGAACTGGAAAATATTATTTATGTTCTAATACACACTTATGTTTATTTATGCCATTTAGGCATCAAACTGTCTTGTTCAAGGCTACAAAAGAAAGTGTAGAAAAATCCCTGAGATGTATTCTGGTACTGGACCCCATCCTCCTAACCCTTTTTGAAAGCCTCAAATATCTGTCACAAGATAAACTGTAATGTTTCCACTTGCAGTTTATAAATAACCTATTTTGAACTCCCAGGTACAAGGTCTAACCCAGAAAAGAGAGAATGAGCCCAGCCCCTTTCCCTGCACAACTACTCATGGTTTTGGACAGGGTACTCCCTAGAATGGCCTTTCTCTGTGCTGACAGGTAAACAACAACATTTACCTACTTCTAAATCATGGCAGTGGAGTCAAGACAGGATTTATAAGGCATTTGAAGGTTCTTGGAGAGCAGCTATTACAGAATTACATGCTGATACAGTATCAGGCGGAATGCTTATTATTTTATTTAGGATTACAAAACAAGCTGCTCTGCCTTATAGCAACATTAAGAAGTCAGATGGAATGCTCAAAGCATGAAATCCAGCACATTTCTCCTGTAACAGAAGTCCCTTCATCAAAGGTTCATAAAAAGATGAATTGCTTTAACCAGTTGATGTCATAAGACAAGTGTTATGGGCATTGAGCTTAACTTAGAATTTCACCAGATTTGTGGATTTAAGTTGGAATTGGAAATGCTTTTGAATGTGCTTGTGCAGAAACGTGCATATTGCAGAGAAAAAAAAATCAGTGAGAACTGCCAGTAACTGGCTGACAACCCAGCACAGGAGGTATGTTAGAACTGATTCACAGTCTTGTGCAACAACTTTGTTTTGGGTTAAAAGAGGGCAGAAAAGACAAACTCCATTGAGACTGTGTTACGTGAGTCCATGGACAAGGGCTTGACTTTTGATGTATGTGTATTTGGCAGTCAGTGCTGGAGATTTATTTACAGGGTGTCATTTGAGGTTTGCTCTGATATGCCCCACAGGATAACCACTGAGGTTATTTTGCTTGGGGCTTGCTGTTTCCAGCTGCCTTCTTTAACTTTCTTCAGCTGCTCAGGAGACACTTTCTAAAGGCAACTTATTCCTACCTTGCACTGGGCTCCAACATTTCTGGGGTTTGTTCCTCCACTGCTCTCTCTTAAACCTTGCCTGTCTAACCAAATAAAAAGGAGGCCTAAATATATCCTTACGTATGCACATGCCAAAGAAAATACAAATTAATTCACCCAAGGCCATACTGCCCTGCTCCTAGAGGGCCTGCAGGCCCTCCTAAGGGAGTGTGAGTTTTCCTTTGCTGAAAATCCCTTTATTGCTGCAGCATGGTCACTCCTGAAAAGAGGTTACAGATATTACATGTAATCCTAGGTATGCTTCAGATGATGTAAGGCAGAAAGGTTTAAATTGTGTCAGATAAGGCTCTAACTCTGGAATATGACTTGACAGGTGAAGACATTCGAAATCAGTCTCAGGTCTGATTTCAGTTCTTCGTCTGAATTGTTCAGGCCTTTATCTCACTGTGAATTATTTTATGGTATCCATATACAGCTTGTTATTAAATCAGTGAGTTCAAAATATGCTTATATTACACGCTTGATGAACACTTCTCATAAAGTTACTCTCACAGTTGTGTAGCCTGTAAGAAATCACTTGTTTTCACTTAGTGTGAGATTCCAGCAAGAGCCAGTCAGGCACACAAAATCCATCAAAAATTGTCTTTGCTGGCTGAATCAGCCTTAAGGGACCACCAGGATCATCTGCCACCAGAGAGACTCTCACAGTCACAAAACCTCTTATTTGTACATGAAAGCTAAGCTCTGTCTGGTGAACCCTGAGCTGCTGGAAAGGCATACCATTTTCCTCTGCTCTCCCTTCTTCCCTGGCAGGGACTGCTGTGAATCTGTTTGTTGGGTAGTGTGGCCAACACAGGACCTCTCCAGATGGGAAACAGCTCCCTGGGAGGTTAGCATGGGAAGCAGCACACAAGGAATGGGGCCCAGAGCAGCAATGATGGAGAGCAGGAGGAGCAAGGAGCAATTCTCCCCCAGAGCACAAGAAGGACCAGTGCCAGTGGAAGGAGAACAAAAATGACCTTACAGCTACTGCCTGTAACATGGCACAGAAGCAATTCCAGGGCTCCTGTGAGCTAGTCTCTGTTCCTGAATTACCTTCTCTCAGGTATTACCTTTCCTTTAATGTAGCTTGTGAATAATAAAGAGCATATGTGCTGAAAAAATTTCTACAAACTTGCATTGCAATTTTTTTACCAGCCTCTTTTGGATTTTCAGTTCAATTGTACAAGCAATTATTTCTGACCACTCTAACAACAATTACTCACATTTTAATAACCTTTTTCACATGAGCATGTCACCACTCAGTCTACAATTGAAGGTGAAGACCACTCCTGCTTAACAGCTGATGATCAGCAAAAGAAATGGGCCTGATCTGATCTGTTAAAGAGAGACAGATTTAACATTTTAGTAGAACTTATCTCTATAAAGCATCCATATTCTCCCCAGTTGCTGACTGAGAGAGACAGCATTTATTCAATGGAAAAAGGGATTCATTTATATTGATTGGACTTTCCCTCCCACCATGCACATTGTAGAACATCAGGGTACACTTATTCCAGATCAGTAACTCTCAGCCCTGCTGCAGTCTAAGTGCTCTCCCATTAAATTATTCAGGATGTCAGCATGGGCAACCAGCTCAAAAAGAAAATTTAGAATAATCTAAAAAGAAAAGAAGGTTTTTGTCTTATAAAAAACCAAACAAAAAACCAAACCAAAAAACCAAAACAAACAGAAAAACCCAAACAAAACCAAAACCCAACCCACAAACCCCAACCCTAAACCAGGAATTGTCATGTTATTTTTACTTACAAAGATCTAATTATGGCAATATTAACTGATTTGTTTCACTAGACAGAAGCCTATAAAAGAAGTTAGTGTCATCAATATATAGGCTAATGCTATTTTTTTCTTTAGCAATCAGACCTTCTTGCTGTAACTGAGGTTAAAAACAGACGTGTGAACTACACACTATTTTAATGTGTGAGAACGGAAGCAAAGGATGGGCTGGAACAATAAATGAGTTGCTTGCTTGAAAAGTAACACTGAAGGGAGATCACTGTCTTCATGTCCTGGTCACATAATCTGGTGGCTGTTTTAAACAAATTAAAGCAGACTGCTTTATTTTTGTGAGTTCAAGTAAAACAGAGTTTTCAGCCAGCAGATACTCAATTTTCCTGGCTAGTTTTTGGATGCGGGCCATGTGTGATCAGTGACCTATTTTCACTGCAATGAGATCAGCTATGTTTGTAGGATCCTGAATCAGCAGATCTGTCCTTATTCCTGGCTCTGCCTGCCAGAGCACCGAGCCAGGCTCTCCAAAGCTACTGGCCTGCCATAGATCTGTAGCAAAGGGTGCTTGGTCATAAAAGGACTGTGCTGAAACCTAACAGGCCAGGACCATCAGGATCTATGGTGCACAATCTGCTGGTGCTGCTGAACTTGAAATTTTGTTTGCCTAATTGAAAGGGCCTAGGAATAGAAGAAATCTGTGCTGTTTATAGGAATTATAATTCTTCCTGGATAACAGTGCTATTAAAAAACAGAAGGGGCAGAGGCAAGAACCAGAGCAAGATCCTAGTGCTTCAGCTTCAGATCTGAAGCAGTTTTGGTCACAAACACCAGACTCTTGTCTTTGGAAAAGTACAGCATATCTTGCAGTTTGCTAGTACTGCATGGATTATCATGTCCAAATGCAATTTTGAGGTCAGCTCCAAGGTATTCTGCTGTTGTTTGCCACCAAAGCCCAGTGCAGCATCTGTGGAAGCTTGGTGGTGCTGCTTGGACTGAGCCATACAGAAGTGGTTGAAGCCTCATAGGAAAATTTAGTCTGGAGGGAACTCTGCAAAGGTCATCAAGTCCAACTATCCACCCAAAGCAGGGATTGCTGAGATTGGGTTACTTGGAGACCTCTCAGTTAAGTTTTGGTGACTTAGAATTAAGTGCATTATGTCCAGGATCTGCTCTTCTGGAATGAACCTCATTTGGATTAATATATTTAAAGAGAGTTTTGAAATAAATTATTATTCATGTAGGGCTGCAGATTTTCTGGAGACCAGAAATCTGACTGCAGTTCTTTTCACCTAGCCCCACAGCTGCCAGTGCCAGCAGCACTGGGCACTCAGCTGTCAGGGAGGAGAGGAGCTGGTGGAAAACAGGCAGTGGTCAAACTTGTCCCCACTGATCAGCCAAGGAAAGAGAAGGAAATAAAGACAGATTTTCCTTCTAGCAGCCAGGAAAGTGAAGGCAATCGGCAGTGGTTCATGTCCTGCCTTCATTCACCTCTTATCCCAGGGCTGTTGGCAAAAAGAGTTGCTTTGTCAGGATTAGAATATTGGTTCTCATCTTCATTTCCCAGTGGACCATCTCTGGGATGAAGTGATATAAGAAGGGATGAATTTGGTCTCGTGGTCACCAGTGAAAAGTATTGCTATGGATCACCTGGAATGTCCTCACAGTGCTCATAAAGACCCCATCATCACCAGCAACACTGGAGGCTTTGTGAGGTGCAATGAGGGGCTTCCTGGTGATGGAAGTTCTTTGGGTGGATATTGTTCTCTGAAGGAAAAATCTTTTAATCCATTGGCAGAAGCTGAAACCATCTCTGGTGAGTGTTGTGTACCTGTCTGCCTCTTACTGGAATCCTGTGGTGAGTAAAACCACCGACTTCTGTGAATTTTACTCAAAAATACATATAATTTTGTGACAATCATCTTACATGCTGCCTTCCTTCATTCTCTTCTGTAGTTCAGATTACAGTAATTCCCTGGTAGCCTTTCTTTTTCACCACCACCCCTGTGTGATCCCAAGAGGCCATTAAAATGCCAAAAATACCAGTGTGACATGAAGAGGGCTGGCGTCTCTGCCAGCACAACTTCACGGATGCCAGTGCCCTGGGGAGTTGAGCTATGCTAGGGGAGCATCTGAGATTTTAAATGTGAGCAGTGTCCCCTTAGTGGCATAGATATCCTCTTTTTGTATTCACGATGAATGACGAATAGAAATTCCTGCCCTCAGGCGTGTGGCAGCAGCATGGGATACTAGGAAAAGCCAAGTTCCCTCTGAAACGCAGAGAATGATTTCATTAAGTTAAAATCTCCGAGGACTCTAGGCAGATGCAGGAGTGAGAATGACAAAAGCCATTACATGGGAGCCACGCTGTGGACAGCAGATAGAGCTGGAGCTGGGCAGGAGGTGAATGCAGCATGGGTTAAAGCGTTGTGATCCCCTGTGCCAGGAGACTGGGGAATTTGCATACATTTTACAAATAGCTTTGCTGTGACCCAAGTGCTGAGGCTTTCCTTTTGGATAGACAGCATGGCTGCAGTTTAGCCATTTCTTTGTTGTTTGCTGCCTCCAACAGGATTACTGGGAAAATTTTCTCCAGCCAGTGACAAAAGCTGCAATAAGAGCAGCTGCCTTTGATACTCACAGAGGAGGGCAGAGTGGTCCTGTGAGACAAGCAACAGATTTGCAGAGAAGTCAAGAGATGTCAGCTAGAAATTAGCACAACTCCAGATTAAAAACTCTCTCTTCGTGGTAGTTTAAGTATTAATGAAGTCACTGTTTAAAAGTTCATTAATAACAGATTTAAAAATTAAATGCTTTTTGGAAAAGAAACTAAGACAATTCCTCCAGTGTTGTTCTTGGAGGTTTCATCTCTGTGAAAGGGCAGAGCAAATAGGAGAAGATTGCTGTGGGTCACCTCTCAAGCCACCCCTTCAGATGCTTCCTAAGCTGCTTCTACGTTCTTACACACCTGCTAGCACTGCATCTTGGAACCCAAGTGCAAAGTCTTGGTTCATTAGGATTAATGAAACTTGAGCTTAAGTCCAGAGTTTCAGGAAAGGTCAAACAGATTGCTGTGTGCTAGAAAAAGCTGAGAGCGCTGCTTGACTTGAAGGAGTGCAACTGCTGAACACAAACTCAAGTGTAGGTTAACAAGTGTGTGTGTGTGTGTGTGTGTGTGTGTGTGTGTGTGCATGCAGATACACACACACACACATGAAAAGGAGAGGGGATAGAGGAAAAAAACGGGGGGAGATGTGCAATACCCATCATGTTCCCTACAGAAGTCAAGGCAAAGAGATAAAGGGGATTTCTCAGAAGTGAAATATATGCACCAGTACACAGGGACCCCTGAATGGATGGATGATCAGCAAAGGAATATGAAATAACTTCTTCATTTCTGCTTTAACTCTGATATTTCCATTGTGTAAGCAAGCTTGAATCTGGGGAGACATACAGATCTCAATATTAAGGTGCTCAACTCACTGGTCTCTACTGGACCCATCAGTCACCCATTAGTGATTTTCTTGCCAAAAAGGTGTTCCATGAAGAGAAACAAAACCAGCAAAGGAATATGAAATAACTTCTTCATTTCTGCTTTAACTCTGATATTTCCATTGTGTAAGCAAGCTTGAATCCGGGGATCCATACAGATCTTAATATTAAGGTGCTTGAGAGCTGTGTGTTTATACGAAGTTGTATTTAGATTAAAACTCTAGGACCTCTTAACATACACAGGTCTAAAAATAACATTAAGCACATGCTTTTTATCATGGTTAAAGCTGTTGCAATAAACCCCATCCAACATCACACCCAGCTATTTGCTGTTATGTTGCATAGTAACAGTATTTGGCAAAAACAAAGAATACTTTTGGTCAAATGAGATGAGGAATGAAGATCTGAAAGTAGCCCAAAAATCTCCATGAAGCCCTTGAAGCAAGATATGCAGCTGATGCTGTGGCATTTAACCTGATGAAGGAGACACAGGAAAGAAGCAAATGCAAACTAGAGACCAAGCCTAGTGCCATGATACTCAGACAGGAAATGGGATGGGGTAGGAACACATTTTCCTGAGAATCAGCAAACATTTTTTCAGTCCCAGGTGTAAGGAAAAGACACAGCAAGGCTTCAGCATCCTCCCCCCGGCTGTGCTCTGATCCATCTTGCTGGGAGCTGGGAACCAGCAGAGGAGCCCTAATTTCAGGCCACTCAGTGGGAAGGAAAGAGGGTCAGGTTGTGCCCACTTGAGCACATCTTCATGCAATTGAAACAGCATGAAATTAAATTAGTGAAATAAAGAATCAGTCCACAGACGCAAAAGCATCAAATACCATGTCTATGATGAGCCATGATGATTGGTTTGTTTTCAGTGTGACCCAGCTCATGCCCAAGAGTCTGGTCACATCCAAACTTTCAAATTCAGCTTGTATGGAAAAAAGGATTAACTCAGATGTCATAGACTCCAAAATACCTTCAGTGACATGAACTTCAGCATCTGATCTACTTTTCTGAAACTCAGCCAACACTTCTCTTCAGTTACTAGGAGCAGAAAAACACTGTTTCTCACATCTTTCAGTTCAGCTGAGAGGCAACAGCACATGCATTTGGCACTTTGTCAGTCAAGAAAGGAAAATGAGTTTATAAAGAAAATGCTGACACAAATTCTGGCAGGGCTGCTGGGCATCCCTGTAATATGGGTGAAGAACACAAGCTGTTACTGCAACTGAATTCACCCTAGGGAAGGCTTGCTGCTTGTGGCCACATGTGAGGGACACTGCTGCTGTCTTTGTGCTGCTCTCAGCCTTGGAAAGGCTGCTGATGATATGTTTGATCCTTGTTGACCCTAAGTTAGAAGCTAAGCAGAAGGAGATAGCTAAAGGCTATAGTCATTGTGAGAATGAAGTCTTAGCTACAACTCATAGCTGCCAAAGTTAAACTCCCTACTTTAAGGCAGAGGTGTTTTATACCTTTGCCACACTGCTGAACATCACTGGTGTGCCACTTGCAGTCCTCAAGTGATAATTTAAAACCAGCTGGCGAAAGTCAAAGAGTAGGTGAAGGATTTTCTTCTGTCCAGAATTTGCTTTATCCTTCCCTCGTCACCTCTTTATCACAGTTCCACTTTGTTCCTGGTCTCAAACGTGCTCCTTTCCATTTCCCTCAATTTTCTTGCCATATAGCACCTCTTTGTCTACTTACATCTCCCAGAAAAATCTGGGGAAATAACCTTGCCTTTGCCACTGTCCTATGATCCACTTCACTTGTCTGCATCTCCCCAGCCCTCTGTAATGGCTTGATGTTGCACAGGCTGCAACAGGAACTGCCTGCTGTCCTCTGCTTTCACAGAGGGTGCATGCCCAGCTGCTCATATTGTCCTGCACACAACAGGCTTTTTACCACTACAGGGGCAAGGTTAGTGGCTTGAGAAACATCATTCAGGACAGTCAGCTATTTTGTTTTTTTTTCCTTATAGTTGGTAGGAATTCCAGCCCACCCATCAAAGACCCCGTTTGCTGCACGGCTTCCCACACTAGTCAGAGGTGGTCACTGACTCCTGAACTGCGTGGGCAGAAGATGTGCTGTTTTACACACTCTCTTTGCACCTGATTTTGTTTTTCCTGAGAAAGAAGCCACTAATTTTGGTTGCTTCTGCACAGACAAAGAGCAGATAGGAGAAAAAAATGAAGTTACTCAAAACCACAGAGAAATGGGGTAAAGCTGCTACCTGCTTAGGAGCTATTTCTACATCTATGTATAAAGATTTTAGTATGGTTTTGTCCCATGTGCCATCACCTTTGGAGTGATGAGTGGGAGCCAGGAGAGTAGAGGAAGATGCTGGAGATTATGAGCTCCATGGGTGCAGAGGCCCCTGAGAGCAGCCCCAGGCAGCTGCTGCTGACAGAACTCCTCATGGCCTCTATGTGTTAGTCTGTCATTTGTTAGGTATTTTACTCTGAATTCAGCTTTTTCTTTCCCAAGGAACAATGCAGTGTTTCTCTTTCTCTTTCCCCCTGTTTCTGGGAGCACATAGCACCAAATTATCCAAGATTTGTACAAAACACTATCCTGTGATTCTTTCTTGAAGCTGCTGGAAAAAACAGCCCTGGCTTGTTTTTGTCAAAGAGCTGGGGCGGGTCACCTCCATCTTCCACCACTCACAGAGATGTGCCCATCCACCCTGCAGAGAGGGCAACTCTTTACCCACACCATGTTTTACTGCAAAGCTGAGGAGGCAGCTTGAGCCAGGTCCCAAAACTGGGATCTGTTCATGCTGTTGGCTCCCTTAAGGCCCCTGTGCCCATGGCTCTGCCTGGCAAGAGGGTGAGCCCCTGCCTCTAGTGCCTCAGGGATGACACAGAGAGGGCTGCTGCCATGCCTGTGGCTTTCCCCCACACTCCCCTCTTGCTGCAGACCCTTCAAGTCTCCCACATGAGGTGTGTGTCTCACCCCACAGCTGCTCGGTCTCTGTGTTTGCAGGGCAGTGCCACACTGTCCCCTTAGACCTACGAGCCAACATCCCACGTGCACCACAGCCCTCTCCCGCCTGTGACTCCACCAACCTGCAGAGCCAGGCACGTGGGGCCTCAAAGTTGGAAAGAAGCTGTCAGACTTCAAAAGAGGTTATTTTCTACTAGTGAGAACAGCACAGCTCAGCAGTGCCCGTGGGGCCAGGGGCCCTGTGCCCAGGAGGCCTGTGGGG